CTGACTACTCTATGACTGAAGAAATATTTCTTAACATCCCTTTGATTCATCTGAGTCTTCAACTTCCAATTGTGACCTCTTGTGTCTGTGTCCCATCTCTGGAACATCCCGTCTTTGTCCACCTTGTCTATTCCGCGCAGTATTTTATATGTCGTTATCATGTCTCCCCTGACCCTCCTGTCCTCCATTGTCGTCAGGCCGATTTCCCTCAACCTTTCTTCGTAGGACAATCCCCGTAGCTCTGGGACTAGTCTTGTTGCAAACCTTTGCACTTTCTCTAATTTCTTGGCGTGCTTGACCAGGTGTGGATTCCAAACTGGTGCTGCATACTCCAGTATGGGCCTGACGTAAATGGTATACAGAGTCTTGTGTGTGTGTGTGTGTGTACTCACCTTATTGTGGTTGCAGGGGTCGAGACTCAGCTCCTGGCCCCGCCTCTTCACTGATTGCTACTAGGTCCTCTCTCTCTCTCTGCTTCCTGAGCTTTATCATACCTCTTCTTAAAACTATGTATGGTTCTGCCTCCACTACTTCACTTGCTAGGCTATTCCACGTCCTGACGACTCTATGACTGAAGAAATACTTCCTAACGTCCCTGTGACTCGTCTGAGTCTTCAGCTTCCAGTTGTGACCACTTGTTCCTGTGTCTCCTCTCTGGAACATCCTATCTCTGTCCACCTTGTCTATTCCCCGCAGTATCTTGTATGTTGTTATCATGTCTCCCCTGACCCTTCTGTCCTCCAGTGTCGTCAGTCCGATTTCCCTCAACCTTTCCTCGTACGACATTCCCCTGAGCTCTGGGACTAGCCTTGTTGCAAACCTTTGTACTTTCTCTAACTTCTTGACGTGCTTGACCAGGTGTGGGTTCCAGACTGGTGCTGCATACTCCAGTATGGGTCTAACATACACAGTGTACAGTGTCTTGAACGATTCCTTATTAAGGTATTGGAACGCTATTCTCAGGTTTACCAGGCGCCCGTATGCTGCAGCAGTTATTTGGTTGATGTGTGCCTCCGGTGACGTGCTCGGTGTTATGGTCACCCCAAGGTCTTTCTCCCTGAGTGAGGTCTGTAGTCTTTGTCCACCTAGCCTATACTCTGTCTGCGGTCTTCTTTGCCCCTCCCCAATCTTCATGACTTTGCATTTGGCAGGATTGAATTCGAGAAGCCAGTTTCTGGACCACATGTCCAGCCTGTCCAGGTCTCTTTGCAGTCCTGCCTCATCCTCATCCAATTTAATTCTTCTCATCAACTTCACATCATCTGCGAATAGGGACACTTCAGAGTCTATTCCTTCCATCATATCGTTCGCATATATCAAAAATAGCACTGGTCCTAGAACTGACCCCTGTGGGACCCCGCTCGTCACAGGCGCCAACTGTGATACCTCTTCACGTACCATGACTCGTTGCTGCCTCCCTGTCAGGTATTCCCTGATCCACTGCAGTGCCCTCCCTGTTACATGCACCTGATCCTCCAGCTTCTGCACTAATCTCTTGTGGGGAACTGTGTCAAAGGCCTTCCTGCAGTCTAGGAAAACGCAATCAACCCACCCCTCTCTCTCGAGTCTTACTTCTGTTACCTTGTCATAAAACTGTGTGTGTGTGTGTGTGTGTGTGTGTGTGTGTGTGTGTGTGTGTGTGTGTGTGTGTGTGTGTGTGTGTGTGTGTGTATGTGTGTGTGTGTGTGTGTGTGTGTGTGTGTGTGTGTGTGTGTGTGTGTGTGTGTGTGTGTGTGTGTGTGTACTCACCTAATTGTACTCACCTAATTGTGGTTGCAGGGGTCGAGACTCAGCTCCTGGCCCCGCCTCTTCACTGATCGCTACTGGATCCTCTCTCTCTCTGCTTCCTGAGCTTTGTCATACCTCTTCTTAAAACTATGTATGGTTCCTGCCCCCACTACTTCACTTGCTAGGCTATTCCACTTGCTGACAACTCTATGACTGAAGAAATACTTCCTAACGTCCCTGTGACTCGTCTGAGTCTTCAGCTTCCAGTTGTGACCCCTTGTCCCTGTGTCCCCTCTCTGGAACATCCTATCTCTGTCCATCTTGTCTATTCCCCGCAGTATCTTGTATGTCGTTATCATGTCTCCCCTGACCCTTCTGTCCTCCAGTGTCGTCAGTCCGATTTCCCTCAACCTTTCCTCGTACGACATTCCCTTGAGCTCTGGGACTAGCCTTGTTGCAAACCTTTGTACTTTCTCTAACTTCTTGACGTGCTTGACCAGGTGTGGGTTCCAGACTGGTGCTGCATACTCCAGTATGGGCCTAACATACACAGTGTACAGTGTCTTGAACGATTCCTTATTAAGGTATCGGAACGCTATTCTCAGGTTTGCCAGGCGCCCGTATGCTGCAGCGGTTATTTGGTTGATGTGTGCCTCCGGTGATGTGCTCGGTGTTATGGTCACCCCAAGGTCTTTCTCCCTGAGTGAGGTCTGTAGTCTTTGTCCACCTAGCCTATACTCTGTCTGCGGTCTTCTTTGCCCCTCCCCAATCTTCATGACTTTGCATTTGGCTGGATTGAATTCGAGAAGCCAGTTGCTGGACCACATGTCCAGCCTGTCCAGGTCTCTTTGCAGTCCTGCCTCATCCTCGTCCGATTTAATTCTTCTCATCAACTTCACATCATCTGCGAACAGGGACACTTCAGAGTCTATTCCTTCCATCATGTCGTTCACATATATAAAAAATAGCACTGGTCCTAGAACTGACCCCTGTGGGACCCCGCTCGTAACAGGCGCCCACTGTGATACCTCTTCACGTACCATGACTCGTTGCTGCCTCCCTGTCAGGTATTCTCTTATCCATTGCAGTGCCCTCCCTTTTACGTGCGCCTGATCCTCCAGCTTCTGCACTAATCTCTTGTGGGGAACTGTGTCAAAGGCCTTCCTGCAGTCTAGGAAAACGCAATCTACCCACCCCTCTCTCTCGTGTCTTACTTCTGTTACCTTGTCATAAAACTCCAGGAGGTTTGTGATACAAGATTTGCCTTCCATGAACCCATGCTGGTTTTCATTTATAATCTTGTTCCTTTCCAGGTGTTCGACCACTCTCCTCCTGATAATCTTCTCCATGACTTTGCACACAATACATGTCAGAGACACAGGTCTGTAGTTTAGTGCCTCGTTTCTGTTTCCTTTCTTAAATATGGGGACTACATTAGCTGTCTTCCATTTCTCAGGTAGTTGCCCAGTTTCAAGGGATGTGTTGAAGATTGTGATTAGAGGCATGCACAGCATCTCTGCTCCTTCTCTAAGGACCCATGGGGAGATGTTGTCCGGTCCCATCGCCTTTGAGGTGTCAAGGTCACTTAAGAGCTTCTTCACCTCCTCCTCAGTTGTTCGTATGTCATCCAACACTTGTTGGTATATTCCCTCTTGATGTTCCCTTCTGTGCTGTCTTCCCACAGCCCTTCCTGTCTCTATTGTAAAAACTTCCTTAAATCTCCTGTTCAGCTCCTCACATACCTCCTGATCATTTCTTGTGATTTCTCCACCTTCTGTCCTTAATCTGATCACCTGGTCTTTGACTGTTGTCTTCCTCCTGATGTGGCTATACAACAGTTTCGGGTCAGTCTTGATTCTCGATGCTATGTCATTTTCATACTGTCGCTGGGCCTCCCTCCTTACTTGTGCGTACTCATTCCTGGCTCTGCGACTGATCTCCCTATTTTCGTGTGTTCTCTGCCTTCTGTACTTTTTCCATTCTCTATTGCACTTTGTTTTTGCCTCCTTACACAGTCGGGTAAACCAGGGGCTCGTTCTGGTCTTCCCGTTGTTACTGTTGCCCTTGGGAATAAACCTTTCCACTGCCTCCTTGCATTTTGTTGTGTGTGTGTGTGTGGATATGTATGTATGGATGAATAAGACACATGTACAACACTTTGGTATCTTTACTGAGAGGACGCTTCTCCCACCAGTGGCTTCATCATTTAAATACAAAAATATACTGCTGGAGACTGTGGAAGACTAAAGTAACAGTTTGAGGTAATCAGTTCCTCACCCTTGATAGAGTTGTATACCTTTGAGATGTACCTTTGCTGAGTTCCCAGAGTTTCTCTGCTGCCAGATCCCGGACTTAGGCCAGGCTCGTCTTGTTCAGTCTTCATTCATGAAAGAAAAACAACCACCAAGGGTGAGACACTAATACAACATATTAAGGAAACGCTTCGCCACACAGTGGCTTCTTCGGTCAATACAAAGCAGAGAGGGATAAGGAGAGAGGAATTTGAGGTAATCAGTCCCTCAACGTGGAATCGATATGTTCAGTGCATCACTCTTGTAAGAAGTACAGCATATGGCCGGGGAAGTGGCTTATATATTGTAGTCATGTGACTGGAAGCAGGAGGAGGCGGGATCACACTGGGATTATCCACTAGTGTAAGTAGGTCTTCGTCCAAAGGTTGGACAAGTATTGAAGAATTCCTTGTATCAAGATCCCATGATGTTGCGGTGTCTGACTTTGGACGAAGACGTACTTACACTAGTGGATGGTTCTACTGTGATCCCGCCTCCTCCTGCTTCCACTCACCTGACTACAGTATATAAGTCACTTCTCCGGCCATATGCTGTACTTTCTACAAGACTGCTGGATTGAACACATCGATTCCAGGTTGAGGGACTAATTACTTCAAACTCCTCCTGATCTTCACCCATTCTTCTTTGTATTGGACTGATGAAGCCACTGTGTGGCGATACGTTTCCACAATAAAACCACCCAAGTGTTGCACATGTATCTAATTTATCGTCTTCGTTTTATGTAATGGTGTCGACGTTTAAATATATGGAAACTGGATCTAAGAATTTTAATCTGACTTATCTCTCTCCCACAGGAACATTTACTAGGCTCAGGTCCCTGCAAATGATTCAATGGGCTATAGCATCTATTAATCTGACTTATCTCTCTCCCACAGGAACATTTACTAGGCTCAGGTCCCTGCAAATGATGAATTCAATGGGCTATAGCATCTATTAATCTGACTTATCTCTCTCCCACAGGAACATTTACTGGGCTCAGGTCCCTGGAAATGATTCACCTGGACTACAACAGCCTGACCAGCATCGACACCAACGTCATATCTCTCAGCAGCAGCTACAGTATTGTGTACCTCAACAACAACCAGATAGCAAACATCGCCCCTGGTGCTCTTGAAGGTAATTCCTGTTGAAAATGGTATGAAATATTTAGAAGTTGAAGATTAAGATACATGTGGCGACACCGTGGCCCTTGGCCTGGTGGCAAAAGCTCTCGCTTCACACGCTGAGTGTCAGGGTTCGATTCCTGGTGAGGGTAAAAACATTGGGTGTGTTTCATTACACCGGTTGTCTATGTTCACCCATCAGTAAAATGGGTACCTGGGTGTTAGTAGACTGGTGTGGGTCGCATCCTGGGACAAAACTGACCTAATTTGCGGGAAATGCTCTGCATAACAAGCGGCTTTCTATATAGTAGTATGTCATGGATGTCAGCTATGGTCTGTATAAGTTGAATCATGTGCTTGGAAAAATAAAGATTATTATTATTATTATTATTATTATTATTATTATTATTATTATTATTATTATTATTATTATTATTATTATTATTATTATTATTATTATTATTAAATAGTCTGACACATAATTTTTCCGGCTAATTTGCATACTGATGCTTCTACAGGTGTCAAGACAGAAGTCTGGCTTCAGAATAACCAGATGACAGTACTTGATGAGGAACTCTGGCGTCCCCTCTTCAATGGTGGCTTAGTACTCTTTGCTTCCAGTGAGTACATTATGGTCCAAGTCAGACCGAAACGTTGTTTTACGCTTCTCCCGTGTGTTGGTTATTTGTGTGTTGCGTACGAATGGTTTTTGTATCTGATTATGTAATGTAAAAATGTTTGTGTAAATGCTTCTAGTAATAAGGTGGAACAGCGGCCTAACCTAAATTAACCTAGCCCAATTTAACCTAACCTAAGTTAACCTAAAAAAAATCTAACTAACCTTGCAACAGCCTAACGTAGCTTAACCTAACTTAACCTAGCAACAACCGAACCTAATTTAACCTAACTGATGAAGGTATTGGCCAGCGAAACATTACCAGGATAAGAATGTTTTAGCCAGAATAAGAATGTTGTAGCCAGGATAAGAATGACTCACGAAATCGTAATGACACGATTGCAAACAAACCATACCACGGACGGGGATAGAATGTTTTAGCCAGGATAACAATGTTTTAGCCAGGATAAGAATGTTTTAGCCAGGATAACAATGTTTTAGCCAGGATAACAATGTTTTAGCCAGGATAACAATGTTTTAGATAGGATAAGAATGCTTTAGCCAGCTCTGGTGGCCTGGTGGTTAAAGCTCTCGCTCCACACGGCGAGGCCCTGGGTTCGATTCCCAGCCAGAGTAGAAATATTGGGCGTTTCTTTCCACCTGTTGTCTATGTTCCCCATCAGTAAAATGAGTACCTGGGTGTTAGTGGACAGGTGTGGGTCGCATCCTGGGACACTGACCTAATTTGCCCGAAATGTTCAGCATAATAAGGGGCTTCTATATAGTAGTATGTCATTGATGTCAGCTATGGTCTGTATACCTTGTACATGTACTGGTAGGAAATAAAATTATTATTATTATTATTATATTAATAAGAATGTTTCAGCCATAACGAGAATGTTTTAGCCAGAATAACAATGTTTTAGCCAGAATAACAATGTTTTAGCCAGAATAACAATGTTTTAGCCAGAATAACAATGTTTTAGCCAGAATAACAATGTTTTAGCCAGAATGGCCAGTAATTTGCTTGTATCCTTGACAGACAACCCACTAACTTGTGACTGCAGCATCGCCTGGCTAGTGCTACAAGGAACGTACTTAAGTCTTCTGGGTGATAGTGTGACTTGTGCTGATGGTGAGCCAGTGAAGACCCTCGATCCAGCTATCTATGTAGCCATGTGCACCTAATAAACGTTTTATCCATCCACCGTCACGTTTTGCCAGTTGCCTACATCTTGATAACTGTGCGAAACAATGTTGTACATGTACACATAAGTGCATTTATTATACGCAGTAATGTATGTGTACATTACCCAAGATAACTCTAACATAAAGTTAGTCAAAGTGACTTATTTCCATTGTAGTCCTTGATATCAAAATCCCCCTCCTTGTAAGATAACTTAGTTAGGTTTAGAAACTAAGGATTAAACATTTAGCAAGTATACAGAGAGATACACTAATTTCTCGAGGTATATACCTTGATCTCTCATAGGTATATATATATATATATATATATATATATATATATATATATATATATATATATATATATATATATATATATATATATATATATACCCAGAGACGTATGTACTGCTCATTGTATAACACAAATTCTCACAATGTAACTAGATATAAACATGTAAATAGCTCATTACCAATGTGACTTGTTAAGCTATCACGGTCCAGTCACCGGACCCATTATGTGGCTCTGTAATGTTGAGGTACAGTTCCTGGACTCATTATGTGGCTCTGTAGTGTTGAGCTACAGTTCCTGGATCCATTATTTGGCTCTGTAATGTTGAAGTACAGTCCCTGGACCAATAATGTGCCTCTGCAATCTTTATGGCCACCACCCACACTATGGGTATGGGGTACATAATAACGATATTAAACTAAGGACTACAACACAAATAATTCACTCTGACCAATTATGTACCTCTGTAATCTTTTGACTACCGCCCACAGGATGGGTATGGGGTGCATAATAAACATATTAAACTATGACTTTTTGGGTTATCCTGGGTAATTTACGCAGCTCCTCACAAGTTGCACATAAATGGTATACAATACCGAGAAGATGAAGAATTGGACACGTACAACATCTGGGTATCTTTGTTGACGTTTCGCCATCCAGTGAAGAATTATTATAATGTTCCTTCAAGACTACAATGTGAAGAATTATTATAATGTTCCTTCAAGACTACAGTGTTCTTCACCATTTCCAAGGCTGAGGGACTGATCACCTCATCTTTTGTATATAGTTCTTCATATTATGTCCATGTATTGTACTGATAAAGTCACTGGTTGGCGAAAAGTCTACAAATAAAGATACCCAGATGTTGTATACTTATATGTATCTAATACTTATATGTATTAGATACATGTAAGTATCTAATACTTAGATATTAGATACAAGTATCTAATACTTACATGTACCTAGTTCTGCCTCACAAGGTACAACAATAAGTAGCATCAACCGTACGATAGTCATCAAACTCTCAACTTGTTTACATTTTATGGACTTTGGTGACTATCGTACGTTTGATGCAATTTATTGTTGTGCTGTTAAGTACGTAAGTACACGTACACATAAGTACAATTATCATACGTGGTTTAATATATTATCAAGGAATTCCTCGAATTCTTCTATTATCAAAAATTTCCTTGAATTTTCATATCAAAAAAAAATCCTTAAATTCTCATATTATCAAAAAATTCCTTTAATTCTCACAAAATCACGAAAACTCTTGAAAGTTCACCATTCTTTTTCAGTTGTTGATTTGTTTAATGTTATTGTTTATGATAATTGTACTTCTGTGTACCTGTGCCCCAGTACTTACATCAAACTTCATGAAGTTGTAGTATATATTATTGTGGATGAAGTTCCTCCCTCTTACATTGTTGTGGATGAAGTTCCTCCCTCGTACATTGTTGTGGATGAAGTTCCTCCCTCGTACATTGTTGTGGATGAAGTTCCTCCCTCGTACATTGTTGTGGATGAAGTTCCTCCCTCGTACATTGTTGTGGATGAAGTTCCTCCCTCGTACATTGTTGTGGATGAAGTTCCTCCCTCGTACATTGTTGTGGATGAAGTTCCTCCCTCGTACATTGTTGTGGATGAAGTTCCTCCCTCGTACATTGTTGTGGATGAAGTTCCTCCCTCGTACATTGTTGTGGATGAAGTTCCTCCCTCGTACATTGTTGTGGATGAAGTTCCTCCCTCATACTTTATTGTGAATGAAGTTCCACCCTCATACATTGTTGTGGATGAAGTTCCTCCCTCATACATTGTTGTGGATGAAGTTCCTCCCTCGTACATTGTTGTGGATGAAGTTCCTCCCTCATACATTGTTGTGGATGAAGTTCCTCCCTCATACATTGTTGTGGATGAAGTTCCTCCCTCGTACATTGTTGTGGATGAAGTTCCTCCCTCATACATTGTTGTTGATGAAGTTCCTCCCTCATACTTTATTGTGAATGAAGTTCCTCCCTCATACATTGTTGTTGATGAAGTTCCTCCCTCATACATTGTTGTTGATGAAGTTCCTCCCTCATACATTATTGTGGATGAAGTTCCTCCCTCATACACCTCACATTTGCCACAAGGAAACGCAAATTCTCCAATTTATATTAGGTAAGTGTCGATTTTCTCTAAGCAATTCCTTAAGTACAATGGTAGTTACTTTGATGCTGGTTTTTTAAGTTTGTTGTTTGCTGCTATGTCAACTAGGGCCCCAATGGAAATACAAGGACAACAATGATAATACAAGAACCCCAATGGAAATACAAGGACCCCAGTGGAAATACAAGGACAACAATAGTAATACAAGGACCTCAATGGAAATACAAGGACCTCAATGGAAACACAAGGACCTCAGTGGAAATATAAGGACAACAATGGTAATACAAGGACCTCATTGGAAATACAAGGACAACAATGGTAATACAAGGACCTCAGTGGAGATACAAGGACAACAATGGTAATACAAGGACCTCAGTGGAAATACAAGGACAACAATGGTAATACAAGGACCTCAGTGGAAATACAAAGACAACAATGGTAATGCAGGGACCTCAATGTTAATACAAATATAACAATGGTAATACAAGGACCTTAAGGAATGGAAATACAAGGACACTGGTAATACAAGGATCTTAAGGAATGGAAATACAAGGACAACAATGGAAAACAAGGACCCCTATGGAAGTACATTCAAGGACCCAATGGAAATAAATCACTTTGTCTCAATTTTTCGGTTATCTTTGGTAATTTACACCATGTATGATAATTGTACTTATGGGTACCTGTGCCTAAATAAACTTACTAACCATGTAATAACTCTCGGAAGTGAGCTTTCTTGTTTGGGTATGTGAGTGAGCTTTAGTGCTCTCCTTGTGCATTGTGTACCGTGGCTATGTTGTTAGCACATGCTGAGAGTCAATGGGTCGATCCCCGGCATGGTTAGAATGTTGAGTGTGTTTCCTTACACCTGCTGCCCCTGTCACCTAGCAGTAAGTAGGTACCTGGGTGTTAGTCGACTGTTGTGGGTGGCATCCTGGGGAATGTAGTATACCTTAGATAGTGATGAGCTCTGAAATCAGATGAGGCAGGATAACAGCTCTTATCCTGTAAATGAGCTGAAGCAGGACAACAGCTCTTAACCTATAAATGAGCTGAGGCAGGATAACAGCTCTTATCCTGTAAATGAGCTGAGGCAGGATAACAGCTCTTATCCTGTAAATGAGCTGAGGCAGGATAACAGCTCTTAACCTATAAAATTGATGTGTAAAACAGAATGCTGTTTTTGTCTTCTCTTGACCACTATAAAAGCTTTGTTTTACTTCTCTTTATTAGACTAATAAAGCTCGATGAAGCATCACATATCTCCTCAACAAATACCCAAGTACTGTTCATGTGTCTTACTTGGAAATAAGTTCGAGGACCTCAATGGAAATAAATCACTGATTTGTTTTGGGTTATGCTAGGTAATTTACACATATGCTGCTATGTATGATAATTTATGGAACTGTATTTATGTGTACCTCTACCTAAATAAACTTACTAGGTGATGCCATCTTGTTAACTAGGATAAGGCTTTCCTTATTTTATTTTTCATAAAACACAATAGGGGAAAAAGATCTTTCAACCTACTCTCTGACAATAAAGATTTAAAGATTTATTTATTTCTTTGCAATGTTCACTATCATGCCAGGGCATTTTGGGCATGTTAACATATATGAGACAATGTTTACTTGTAAAAGACCATGAATGGGTTATATATGTGTGTGTTTTCAGGAGAAACGAGAAAAAATAGTTTGCTCAGCATTACGTTTTCTCTTAAAACTTTCCAGACAGACTTTTTTTTCAGTAGAGATACTATCAACTAACTATACTTCAGCCCATGTTCAATAGGTAAATAATATACACTCTGTTTCTTATGTGTCTCTCCTTCAAGACCTTTACCTACACAACTTCCAGACCCTGATTTCATTCTTATAATAATAATAATAATAATAATATCTTTATTTCTACAAGTACATGTACAAGGTTTATAGGCTTATCTGACATCAGTGACATACTACTATATAGAAAGCCACTTGTTATGCTCAGCATTTCAGGTAAATTAGGTTAGTTTTGTCCCAGAATGTGACCTGCACCAGTCGACTAACTTCCAGGTACCCATTTTATACTGATGGGTGAACAGGGGCAGTAGGTGTTTTATGGAAACATATCCCTAATGTTTACCATTTGTACCGGAGATTTGAACTCCAGTCCTCAGTGTGTGAGCTGCATGCGCTAGCAATTGAGCTATGGGACACTCATGCTATTAGGCAATTTAAATTACACTGCATGCTATTGGCTTTCTTTCATGCCTAACAATATTACATGTAAACTAAAGTACATGTATGCTGTAGAAAAGAAATAAAATATTTATATTTGCCAGGTATATTCCAGGTATTATTATATTTCAGTATTGTCTCACTGTATCTCTGATGAAGACTTGTTGGCCTTCCCTCTCCCTCACCTCTCCACTCCCTGTCTACCCTCTCCCTCACCTCCACTCCCTGTCTACCATATCCCTCACCTCTCCACTCCCTGTCTACCCTCTCTCTCACCTCTCCACTCCCTGTCTTCCCTCCCTCTTACATCTCCATTCCCTGTCTTCCCTCCCTCTCACATCTCCACTCCCTGTCTTCCTTCCCTCTCACCTCTCCATTCTTTGTCTTTCCTCTCCCTTACCTCACCACTCCCTGTCTTTCCTTCCCCTCACCTCTCCACTCCCTTACCTTTTCTTATCTTCAAGAGGTGGATTCAACACCTGTTGATTCTCAGACTCACACTTATTCAGTAACTGATATCTCATTCTGAAGGTCTTCCAGTGTATTAGTTTGACTGGATATCACTAAATAATCTCCATGATAAGTGATCATTTCAAATCAGGGACAGAGTGTATGACCCTGGTAGTTTAACACTGACTCAGATAACCGACAGTTAGGAGAGAGGAGCTTACGACCACATTTTGGTCTGACTTAGACTTATTATTGATGAATTATGAAATTTAAAAGATATATAATTAGCTCTTCAAGACCATAACACTATTTTTCTTATATGCCCCTCAGTTCGATTAACACATTTTCGTGTAACATTCATGTTTAGAGGAACATAAGCCTCATGTTATATGAGGCTTTGCTATAATAATAATAATAATAATAATAATAATAATAATAATAATAATAATAATAGTAATAATAATAATAATAATAATAATAATAATAATAATAATAATAATAATAGTAATAATAATAATAATAATAATAATAATAATAATAATAATAATAATAATAATACAGACCATAGCTGACATCAATGACATACAGTACTGTACTACTATATAGAAAGCCGCTTGTTATACAGAGCATTTCAGGCAAATTTTGTCCCCAGCATGCAACTCACACCAGTCGACTAATGCCCAGGTACCTATTTTACTGCTAGGTAAACATGGACAGCAGGTATAAGGTGACGAATATCCAGCTACCTATTTTACTGCTAGGTGAACAGGGACAGCAGGTACATTGCAGAGTCACTTGTTTGTACAGAACTGCTTAATGCCTCAAATGATGTAGTGGAAGTTTTAGCAGTAAAGATCGAGAACCAAAACCTAGTCATTGTGGTAGTCTACAAGCCTCCGGATGCAACATCCCAGCAATTCCAGGAACAGCTGTTAAAAATTGACCACTGTCTGGAAAATCTGCCAGCTCCTGCACCCAACATCTTGCTCCTGGGGGATTTCAACTTAAGGCACCTAAAATGGAGGAATATAGCAAATAATATTGTTGCAGAAATAACACCAGGAGGCAGCTCTGATGAAAACTCACACTCACACGATCTTTTAAATCTCTGCACAAAATTCAATTTAAACCAGCAAATACCAGAGCCTACTAGACTGGAGAATACACTAGACCTCATCTTCACTAACAATGATGATCTGATACGAAATGTCACCATATCAAAAACAATATACTCAGATCACAACATAATTGAGGTTCAGACATGTATGCGCGGAGCCCCAGACCAACATAATGAGATTAGTCACGAGGGAGCATTCACCAAATTCAACTTCAATAACAAAAACATAAAGTGGGACCAAGTAAACCAAGTCCTAACCGATATAAGCTGGGAAGATATACTAAGCAACACAGACCCCAACTTATGCCTAGAAGAGATTAACTCGGTGGCACTCGATGTATGCACAAGACTTATTCCTCTTAGAAAAAGGAGGAGTAGATGTAAAATAGAAAGAGACAGGCGCTCCCTTTACAGGCGATGGAAAAGAAAAACAGAGCGGCTAAAAGAGGTCAATATATCTGAAATGCGTAGGGAGACACTGGTCAGAGAAATAGCAAGCATCGAACTTAAGCTAAAGGAATTTTATTGGAGTCAGGAATCGCGGGAAGAACTAAAAGCCATAAATGAAATCGAAAGAAACCCAAAGTATTTCTTCTCCTATGCCAAATCAAAGTCGGGAACGTCCAGTATTGGGCCCCTACTTAAACAAGATGGGTCCTACACAGATGACAGCAAGGAAATGAGTGAGCTACTCAAGTTCCAATATGACTCAGTTTTTAGCAAGCCACTAACCAGTCTGAGAGTCGAAGATCAAAATTAATTTTTTTTGAGAGAGCCACAGAATTTGGTTAACATAAGCCTATCTGATGTTATCCTGACGCCAAATGACTTCGAACAGGCGATAAATGACATGCCCATGCACTCTGCCCCAGGGCCAGACTCATGGAACTCCGTATTTATCAAGAACTGCAAGAAGCCCCTATCACGAGCTTTTACCATCCTATGGAGAGGGAGCATGGACACGGGGGTCGTCCCACAGTTACTAAAAGCAACAGACATAGCCCCACTCCACAAAAAGGGCAGTAAAGCAATAGCAAAGAACTACAGACTGATAGCACTAACATCCCATATCATAAAAATCTTTGAAAGGGTCCTAAGAAGCAAGATCACCACCCATCTAGAAACCTATCAATTACACAACCCAGGGCAACATGGGTTTAGAACAGGTCGCTCCTGTCTGTCTCAACTATTGGATCACTATGACAAGGTCCTAGATGCACTAGAAGACAAAAAGAATGCATATGTAATATATACAGACTTTGCAAAAGCCTTCGACAAGTGTGACCATGGCGTAATAGCGCACAAAATGCGTGCTAAAGGAATAACAGGAAAAGTCAGTCGATGGATCTATAATTTCCTCACTAACAGAACACAGAGAGTAGTAGTCAACAGAGTAAAGTCCGAGGCAGCTAATGTGAAAAGCTCTGTTCCACAAGGCACAGTACTCGCTCCCATCTTGTTCCTCATCCTCATATCTGATGTAGACAAGGATGTCAGCCACAGCACCGTGTCTTCCTTTGCAGATGACACCTGAATCTGCATGACAGTGTCTTCCATTGCAGACACTGCAAGGCTCCAGGCAGACATCAACCAAATCTTTCAGTGGGCTGCAGAAAACAATATGAAGTTCAACGATGAGAAATTTCAATTACTCAGATATGGTAAACACGAGGAAATTAAATCTTCATCAGAGTACAAAACAAATTCTGGCCAGAAAATAGAGCGAAACACCAACGTCAAAGACCTGGGAGTGATCATGTCGGAGGATCTCACCTTCAAGGACCATAACATTGTATCAATCGCATCTGCTAGAAAAATGACAGGATGGATAATGAGAACCTTCAAACCTAGGGATGCCAAGCCCATGATGACACTCTTCAGGTCACTTGTTCTATTTAGGCTGGAGGAATATTGCTGCACACTTACAGCACCTTTCAAGGCAGGTGAAATTGCTGACCTAGAAAATGTACAGAGAACCTTCACGGCGCGCATAACGGAGATAAAACACCTCAATTACTGGGAGCGCTTGAGGTTCCTGAACCTGTATTCCCTGGAACGCAGGTGGGAGAGATACATGATTATATACACCTGGAAAATCCTAGAGGGACTAGTTCCGAACTTGCACACGAAAATCACTAACTACGAAAGCAAAAGACTTGGCAGACGATGCAACATCCCCCCAATGAAAAGCAGGGGTGTCACTAGCACGTTAAGAGACCATACAATAAGTGTCAGGGGCCCAAGACTGTTCAACTACCTCCCAGCATACATAAGGGAGATTACCAACAGACCCCTGGCAGTCTTCAAGCAGACACTGGACAAGCACCTAAAGTCGGTTCCTGACCAGCCTGGCTGTGGCTCATACGTTGGTTTGCGTGCAGCCAGCAGTAACAGCCTGGTTGATCAGGCTCTGATCCACCAGGAGGCCTGGTCACAGACCGGGCCGCAGGGGTGTTGACCCCCGGAACTCTCTCCAGGTAAACTCCAGGTAAACACATCCTAATGTTTCCACCCATACCAGGGATCGAAGCATGGACCTCAGTGTGTGAGCTGAGGACACTAGCACTCAAGCTATGGGATACCTATATACTCTCAATAGTAATTGTTAAATAAAACATCCATGGGATAATTATGTTTTAATTTTTATATTTTATGTGAGTAGGTAAAAACGCATATTCTCAGGATGAAGTATTAGTGAGGAACAATAGTCGATCCAGAGGACACACAGTAAACTTGGAATTTTTACCATGCTTTGGGGTGTCTGTCAGTGGATATGGGAATTTAACCATATGGTCAGAGATTTTGGTCATTTATAGGCCTTCCATTAACTTACCTTTCAAGCCCTGTATAAAAATCAGTCACACATGTTAAATTATAGTCATACTGTAGCACCTTAAGACACCTATAATCATACTGTATCACAGACTCATGTTGTGTATTATACCACTGATGGTGCAATTAAGTATATAAACTAATTTCTACTGGATGAACAAATATTTCATAATAAGGAATTAAGATGATTCTTATGGTTCAGTGTTTGTTATACAAAACCAACTAGTCCACAAAACTTAATAAATTATTTATATTTTTGGGGGGAAGGGATGACGGAAACGTTTTGTAGTGGACATGAACATTCTTGCACCAGAATCAATTGGTCTGTCTTGTCAGTAAATTCCTTCAGATGGTTTATTTCAGATGTTTAATGATTTGTACATCTCTAAGAGAATTGGTAAATATTATTGAAAGACAAATATGTAGGATATTTGAAGGGAGACTGAGGATAGAAAGTAACTTCATTAGATACACAATTCAACATAGGTGTCTCTGTCCAGATCCCTGATCAGTCTTCCATCAGCACAAGCCACATCATCTCCCAGACGATGAATGAAGGTTTCTTGGAGAACAACCCAGGCAATGGAGCAGTTACAGCTGAGAGGGTTACCTGTGGATGAGGTGATGTCGTGTAAGATAGATGACAGGGAAAAAATGAATTAAAGTATAGGCAGAACCCCAACTTAGAAATGAATGGACAAATTGCTGGCTTGGCAAAAAGAGTGTATGGGAGTTAGACATACTTCTAGGAAGTTACTTAACCAAATAGTTTGGCTAGCATTAGGAGTGAGTTTAATAGATCTATGAGTGGGACTCGGTGTGTGACTTGGACCTGCCTTAATTAGTATTCCCCACCTAAGTACTTCTTTTATTTATGTTCATATGGTCTAATGTGTCTTCCAGGACTGAAAACGGTTATAATCACAACCAAAATTTTTAAAGGGGTGGAGGGGTAAGCCAGAGGAAGGCCTGAGTAGACAGGCTGTAAAGTGCCTCAGTGTTATATGCACTTATAGATGCAAACTATCTATCAGTGTATATACACTGAGAGAGGGGTATCACTGTATATATACAGAGAGGGGGTATGCCTATTAGTGTATATACACTCAGAGAAGTATATCTCTCAGTGTAAATACAACAAAAATAACAGCATCAACAATAACAACAACTACAACAACAATAGATACAAAATTTATAATAGTTATAATAATATTAGTAAATATAATAATAGCAATAATAATAATATTAATAATAATAATAATAATGTAGGTAGTAGGTTGGTAGACAGCAACCGCCCAGGGAGGTACTATCGTCCTGCCAAGTGAGTGTAAAACGGAAACCTGTAATTGTTTTACACGATGGTAGGATTGCTGGTGTCTGTTTTCTGTCTCATAAACATGCAAGATTTCAGGTACATCTTGCTACTTCTACTTACACTTAAGGCACACTACACATACATGCACAAGCATATATATATACATACCCCTCTGAGTTTTCTTCTATTTTCTTTCTAGTTCTTGTTCTTGTTTATTTCCTCTTATCTCCATGGGGAAGTGGAGCAGAATTCTTCCTCCGTAAGCCATGTATGTTGTAAGAGGCGACTAAAATGCCGGGAGCAAGGGGCTAGTAACCCCTTCTCCTGTATAAATTACTAAATTTAAAAAGGGAAACTTTCGTTTTTCTTTTTGGGCCACCCTGCCTCGGTGGGATACGGCCGGTTTGTTGAAAGAATAATAATAATAATAATAATAATAATAATAATAATAATAATAATAACATCTTCACTATATACGCACCTTCAGCGTACAGCGTAGTGCCATTCTGAAAGAGTGGTCGCCACAGTTGTTCATCGAGTACAATAAGTTGGTTGTTCTTCAGCCAGACTTCATCTCTCACACCTGTTGTGAGGACAGAAGCATACACTGAGGGATAAGATGGCAAAGAGGCAGGGCCAGGAGCTGTGATCCAACCCCTGCAATCATAAATAGGTGAGTACAAAAAAAAATAATTGGCCCAGAGACTCACTATATGAAATTTTGGTTGTGGTTGACCAGTGTTACATGAGGGGAAACTCGAGTAGTGTTAGTACATCATATACAGCCTCTCCTCACTTAACGATGGAATTCTGTGCCTGAGACCACGTCGTTAAACGAATTCGTCGCTAAGTGAGGAGCATACTATAATGGTATTGTCTCAGTAGTACCAGTACCAGAAACCAGTTACCAGTGTCAGTAGTAGTGACTCACTACCAACCATCTGTGTGAATCACTTGTTATTCACTGTTACAGCTGGCCTTAGCACAGAACCCAACGGGACAATTGAGTTTGTGTCAACCATCTTTGATATTATTTTAATGTCCCCTATGCACCATTTATAACATTTCTGGTATATTTTTAAATGATTATACAGCAATGTACTGTATATTGAAATAAACAGAATAGAGGAAATCAGCTCTAATATACATTATTTAGGTATGAATACTGGTCAGAGGGCCCATCGTAAGTCTGAGGCATCGGTAAACGAGTACGTTGCTAAGTGAGGAGAAGCTGTACTTAAATTCAGTATATCGAACCAAAGAGGCTGGATGTACATGATTAATTAATCAGAGACAATTTGACCAAGGTTAGAACCAGAAAACAATGTGTGTTTATTCAGGTACAAGTACATGATGAATTAGGCACGTGCAACATCTGGATGTGTGTATTTGTAGATGTTTTGCCACCCAGTGGCTTTATCAATACAACTCAAGGCCATAATGTGAAGACAGTAGAACTATATACAAAAGATGAGGTAATCAGTCCCTCAGTCTTGTAGTTGGTGAAGAGCACTGTAGTCTTGTGTGTAGTTGTATAATCCTCACATTATGTCCTTGTATGTACTTATAAAGCCACTGGATGGTGAAACATCTACAGTAAAGATACCTAGATGTTACACATGTGTCTAATTCTTATTCTTTATCTTATCGGTATTATATACCATTCGTGTACTTCAGCTACAAGTACACATAAGTACAGTTATCATACATAGTGTAAATTACCGAGAATAACCCCAAAAAGTCAGACGCAGTGACTTATTTCCGTTGGGGTCCTTGTAATATCTTATTATTTATACCTTAAAAGTTAAAACAGTTAAGTAACTATGTGAAAATCAGTAATAATAAAAGGAGATATACTAGGAATAAGGTCAACTTAGCTACTTACACTCTTTTTTTTAAAGAGAGTGCTTGACCAGGCAAATTAATATGAATTTTGTGATGGTCAAAAGGGCCCATACTGGCCTTTACATTACCACGTGACTGGTTTATTTTATTTTTTATTAGCACATCGGTTGTTTCCAACCGAGGCAGAGTGACCTGAAAAAGAAGAAACACTTTCATTGTCATTCACTCTATCGCTGTCTTGCCAGAGGCATGCCTACACTACAGTTGAAAAACTGCAACATAGCAACATGCATCCTCCAGAGTGCAGGCACTGTACTTCCCACTTCTAGGACTGTAACATCCCCACCCATCCTCCAGAGTGCAGGCACTGTACTTCTCACCTCCAGGACTCAAGTCCAGCTAACCAGTTTCCCTAAATCCCTTCATACATGTTACTTTACTCACACTATGACTGGCATATATAATATATTAATAACACTAGTTACTGCATATCTGGGGGTGGAAATGGCTGATCACGGAGGATGTAAGGGTAAGCTATTGAAAACTTTGAAGAGTATTTATAAAGGAGATATACAGAGTGTTTCAAAGAATAGACCCGATTTTAATATATATTGCTTTGAAATTGGGTCCACCTTTTTGAAATGGATATTACCTGAAGACCTGGAGTATACCTGGAGAGGGTTTCGGGGGGGTCAACGTGGGGGCGTTGACCCCCAATGGATATCCCCAATGGATATAAATCACAGTGTTTGACTTTATTAGCGTATACTATGGTAAATCCGCTTGATATATTTTTGTGTGATAAATTAGACACAATGTGCAAAGATTGGGTATCTTTACTGAGGAAACGTTTTTCCCACACAGTGACTCCATGATGAACCACTGAGAGAAACGTTTCCTCAATAAAGATACCGAAGTGTTGTACATGTGTCTAATTTATCAACTTGTCGGTTCTCTGAGTCATTTAACTACATTTGTGCACTTATAACAATTGTCCTCAAGGCCATTATATTTTTTGTATGTTATGACTCCAAAACTTAAATCAAGACATATTTACGAAGTGAAGTGTGGCATTGAGAGTAAGTTATAGATCAAAGGTGTGTGATTAAATGAACAAAAAGGCACAATACACTGACTGAAACAATACACAAATAACCTGCACATAGGAGAGAGAAGCTTAACATGACATTTTGGTCCAACTTGGTCCATTTACAAAGTCATACTGTGACTTTGTATATGGTCCAAGTTGGACCGAAATGTCGTCGTAAGCTCCTGTTAAAAGTAATGCTTGTTGAAAGTATTTCTCACCTTTCAGAGCACCAGGAGCAATGCTTGCTATTTTGTTGTTATTTAAGGACACTGAACCAGAGGCCACCACTATATCTATTACTCCTGTGTTGATGGTGGTCAAATGGTTGCTGTCCAGATTGATGTTATGTAGCTGATCAAGTTCCGTGAAGGTTCCTGTAAGAGATAGGATATAATTTTGTTCGGATTTTTAAACTCGTAGGGTTAGCCATCCAGGATAACCCAAGAAAGTCTTATTTCCATTGGGGTCCTCAATATTGTCCCCCATTATGCGACCTATACAAGTCGATTAATGCCCAGGTACCTACTTGCTTACTAGGTGAACGGGACAACATGTGTAAGGAAACACGCCCAATGTTTCCACCCCTACTGAGAATCGAACCTCGGACACTCAGCGTGTGAAGCGAAAGCGTTGCCTACCAGGTCACGAGCTTGGCTACATTAACTACTGCTATTTATCAAAGGTTAAAGCAAAATGAAAGTTGTAATTAAATACTGAGAGAATAAATTAATAAAATATGTCTTAAGGAAATATATTTCGAGTTATATCTATTCGTTGCCAGAAGTTAACTTGTCAGTGTTGATGAATTAAGCAGACTGGTCTGTGGGGGGGGGGGGGGTGACCTCCGGAACTCTCTGCCGGTATTACCTGGAGTTTACCTGGAGTTTACCTGGAGAGAGTTCCAGGGGGTCAACGCCCCCACGGCCCGGTCTGTGACCAGGCCTCCTGGTGGATCAGAGCCTGATCAACCAGGCTATACTCCAGAATTACCGACAACATGTTAGGTATTAAGACATATGTGCAACTAATACGAGAAAGCTCTAGATGAGCAAAAACATTGCCACAATAAAATGTCACGGTAGTTGTACATATATCTTTTTACCTAATAAGCAGTGCAGTAACAGCCTGGTTGATCAGGCTCTGATACACCAGGAGGCCTGGTCACAGACCGGGCCACGGGGGCGTTGACCCCCAGAACTCTCTCCAGGTAAACTCCAGTGCATTGACAAGCTGAAGTGTAACATAGCCTAGTGGAGATAAATGGTGTAAAATATCGACACGATGGAGCGGAGATACAAATGTATACCTGGAGACCTGGAGCATACCTGGAGAGGGTTTCGGGGGTCAATGCCCCTGTGGCTCGGTCTGAGACCAGGCCTCATGGTGGATCAGGGTCTGATCAACCAGGCTGTTACTGCTGGCCGCATGCAAACTGACGTGCAAACCACAGCCCAATTGGTCAGGTACTGACTTTAGGTTCCTGTCCAATGCCTTCTTGAAGACAGCCAGGGGTTTTGAAGACAGCTAGGAGTCTATTGGTAATCCCCCTTATGTATCCTGGGAGGCAGCTCAACAGTCTTGGGCCCCTGACACTTATTGTGTTGTCTATCAGTGTACTCGTGAAGTAAGGAGGAATATGGTCACTTTGAGATCCCATGTTAATAACTCCTGTCACACGACACCAGACAGGACGAGCTTGTTGGTAAACGAAACCTTATTACTTAATAAATGTTAAAGCTATGACCATTAATTTTTAAAGGGGCGGAGGGGTAAGCGGAAGACCTCGGTCAGATGACCAAAAGCTCCAGCTGTGGGTCATTATGTGACTAAAACCCGCGTCAGGAAACACTTGTCATGTTTCCTGACAAACCTTACCTAACGTAATTTCGTTCTTACTCCCATTTGGATACCAGCAGTTGAGTATCCACGTATATTTCAACTCCCAGTGTGACCATCTTCAGTAACAACTAATAAAAATTCAAGCATTTTTATATTTCAGTAACATTTTAAAGAAATATACCAAGAGAATACGATTAAAATGCCACAGAAATGCATGAATTAAATTACCATTCACTATTATTATATTGCTCAATACTAACCCACATGGAGACAGAAACTCAGAAGATTAATTGATCTGTATATTTCGACCCCTTTCTGGGATCCTCTTCTGCTGAAGAGGATCCCAGAAGGAGGTCGAAATGCCCGGACCAATCTCCTGAGTGTCTCCATATGGATTATTGAGGACTGACAAATGTTCGTTATAGTTTAGTTATTCATGGTAATAATGTACGTATATTGAGAGAGAGCGAGAGAGAGAGAGAGAGAAGAGAGAGAGAGAGAGAGAGAGAGAGAGAGAGAGAGAGAGAGAGAGACAGACAGACAGAGAGAGCACCAATACATGTTTCTCAAGTTATAATCACTATTTTTTCTTATGATCTTGTAAGTATTACCTTCGAGGAGAGTCGCTATCTGACAGGACGGAAGCTGTACGTCTGTCACATTCTTAACATTCTGAAGAGCATCGCGGCTTATACCTCCCAGTGGATTGTTTCCAAAGTTCAAGATTTCCAGACAAATGGACGTTAAATCTGGAAAGCTGTTGAAGTTATTATGGGACGCATCAAGGATGACGAGTTTTTGCATTGAGCTAATTTCACTAGCGCTAATAGTACTCATGACATTAGTTGTTATATTTAACAATTTGAGTGTTGCATAGCTGGAGGAGAGAGCTCCATCCTCTATGTTCTCCAGAACTCCATTAGTGATGTGAATCTCCTGGAAGGTAGCTGAGCCCAGATCTCCTGCCCTCAGTACCCTGATTCCCCTATTATTCTTGATATACAGATGAACAAAGTCATTGAAGGGAAAGCCTTGGCTAAATATATTTTTTAGTTCATCAGAATCAGTGACACCCGAGCAATCCATATCCATCTCAAAATCGCTCAAAGTACTGCAGATGCAGGGCGCAATGACTGTCTCAACTGGACAGGGAATTTCACGGGGTATATGTGGGCTTATTTCTTGCCCTGTGAATAAGGGCAGCACTAACAGTGCCGTCACCCAGTAATTACTGATAGACATGGTGATGAACTGGTTCAGAATATGACTTCGGTTGTGATGGTGATACCAACAATTGTCAGTACAGTGTGTGGAGAGTCCAGCAACTGTCAGTACAGTGTGTGGAGAGCCCAGCAACTGTCAGTACAGTGTGTGGAGAGCCCAGCAACTGTCAGTACAGTGTGTGGAGAGCCCAGCAACTGTCAGTACAGTGTGTGGAGAACCCAACAACTGTCAGTACAGTGTGTGGAGAGCCCAGCAACTGTCAGTACAGTGTGTGGAGAGCCCAGAAACTGTCAGTACAGTGTGTGGAGAGCCCAGCAACTGTCAGTACAGTGTGTGGAGAGCCCAGCAACTGCCAATACAGTGTGTGAAGAGCCCAACAACTGTAGTTCAAGAATCCAGCACAAATGAGGCCTCGAGAGCAGACACACCAGTGGTGTGTGCCGTGAAAAACCTTGAATTATATAGAAGCTGTGTTCTTGAACCTTGAGAATGTTACCACTTGTTGCAGTGTTCACACACACACACACACACACACACACACACACACACACACACACACACACACACACACACACACACACACACACTGGAGACAGGAGGGTCAGGGGAGACATGATAACGACATATAAAATACTGCGCGGAATAGACAAGATGGACAAAGACAGGATGTTCCAGAGATGGGACACAGAAACAAGGGGCCACAATTGGAAGTTGAAGACCCAGATGAGTCAAAGGGATGTTAGGAAGTATTTCTTCAGTCACAGAGTTGTCAGGAAGTGGAATAGTCTACAAAATGACGTAGTGGAGGCGGGAACCATACATAGTTTTAAGACGAGGTTTGATAAAGCTCATGGAGCAGGGAGAGAAAGGACCTAGTAGCAACCAGTGAAGAGGCGGGGCCAGGAGCTATGAATCGACCCCTGCAACCACAAATAGGTGAGTACACACTGGGACAGTCTGAAAGGTGGAGAATATATATGAATGTTAAAATTGCAAATGAATCACAAGGATGTCAAGAAGTACCTTTCCAGTCTAAGGTCGGTCAGGAAGTGTTACTTGAACGGGCTGGGAATGGCAGCAAACACCAAGCAGAGCTTTAAGAATAGGTACGCCTAGCACCCATGAGGCAGTGAATTAATGAAACCAGTCGTGTGCAGTTAAGAGGTGGTGCCAGGAGCTGCAACTACAGCTACATACTAAGTACACATTAAAGCACAAAATTATGTAGTATGTAACAACTTTTCCCCTGACAATTTACATTTGATATATATGTGTAAACACATGAAATTCCTCAGGTTATATTTCCTATTTTCACTGTGGTATTTTTTACATATTTGCAATTACACGTTTTAGTGTGATTTATTCTATAATAAGATTTATATCAGCTGGTGCATTATTATAATCAAAAAGAAGCGGTAAGCCACAAGGACTATACAGCAGCAGCTGGTGCAGACTCTCAGAGGCGCAGACTGCGCCAGGCAGAAGCGTCCTTCAAGTCTGTAGTAACTCTGGTAGAATTGTTAGGTAAGACACATATGCAACAGTTAGACAGCTTTATTCCGAAACGTTTCGCCTACACAGTAGGCTTCTTCAGTCGAAACGTAGGCGAAACGTTTCGGAATAAAGTTGTCTAACTGTTGCATATGTGTCTTACCTAACAACCTGTCGGTATTGTATACCATTTTGATGTTCATCTGGTAGAATTACCCACAAGCCTGGAGAGCGAAACGTTGCCACAGTAAAATGCCACATTAGTTGCACTTGTGTCCTTTAAGTCTGTTGATTTATTAGCTTCTATATAGAAACTGGAACTAAATCTGACAGCTTAATTGTAATTGATTTTCTCTCATACATAAATTATCCTAATTCCCTGAGTGTCATATGTGTCAGGTGTGAGACAGGTATGACTACTGCAGACTGTGACTTCCTCTGGCACTGACCTCCAAGGTCTCTCAGATCTACGAGGCTCCTGGAGTATACCTCTAGGGTTTTTCGGGGGGTCAACGCCCCTGCGGCCCTGTCTGTCACCAGGCCTCATGGTGGATCAGGATCTAATCAACCAGGCTGTTACTGCTGGCTGCACGTAAACCAACGTACGAATCACAGCCTGGCAGGTCAGGTACTGACTTCAGGTATCTGTTCAGCTTTCTCTTGAAGACACCCAGTTGAATTTTTTTTATATATCATCGTCCCCAGACTGTCAGTAGACAAGTGAAAGTTAAAATCATCTCTCAGCTTGAGGGCATGCACTACTGTCAACTAATAAGATTTATGGAAAAAATGGTATAAAATACCGACACAATGGAAATATAAACACATATGCAGTATAATGTGATCCTTTATTGACTACGTTTCACCCACACAGTGGGCTTTTTCAAGTCACAAACAGAACTACCTGGGGTGGAAGGAACGCGAGTATTTATAGTCCAGTTCAGAATGCTGAGGTCAGGTTCAGCATTCTGAACCGAACTATAAATACTCGCGTTCCTTCCACCCCAGGTAGTTCTGTTTGTGACTTGAAAAAGCCCACTGTGTGGGCGAAACGTAGTCAATAAAGGATCGCATTATACTGCATATGTGTTTATATTTCTAATAAGCTTTATCATGTACCTGAAGGCCGGTTCTCGAGGGAATCCACAGGTGGACGCTGCCTCGACGGTGGACATTTTATCGCATCTGCCCTCTAACGTGTCGTAATAAAGTTGGTAGAATTACCGACAATATGTAAAGTAAAAGAACACAAGTGCAGCTAATGTGACATTTTATTGTAGCAACGTTTCGCTCTCCAGGAGCTTTGTCAAGACGATACAAACAGTATATGGACACAGAGAGTATATAAAGGCTCAGAGTGAGGTGCAGTACTAGTGAGGTACCATTTCGACGTTCACTAGTGGTAGTAGTAGTAGTAGTAGTAGTAGTAGTAGTAGTAGTAGTAGTAGTAGTGACAAAAGTAGTAATAGTAATACAATATGGTAGAGCTTTTATATCCTTTTACTCATGTACGAATTAATTGCTCTACCATATTGTATTACTTTTGTCACTACCACTACTACTACTACTACTACTACTACTACTACTACTACTACTACTATTACTACTACTACTACTACTACTACTACTACTACTACTACTACTACTACTACAATTACTACTACTACTACTGCTACTACAATTACTACTACTACTACTACTACAATTATCTACTACTACTACTACTACATACTATACTACTACTACTACTAGTAGTAGTAGTAGTAGTAGTAGTAGTAGTAGTGAACATCGAAATGGTACCTCACTATTATTGCACCTCACTCTGAGCCTTTATATACCCTCTGTGTCCATATATTGTTTGTATCAGCTTGATAAAGCTCCTGGAGAGCGAAACGTTGCCACAGTAAGATGTCACATTAGTTGCACTTGTGTCCTTTTACTCTAACGAGTCCTTTGATGACGGTGGACGCTGTTGATTCAATAATAGAAGTTAGCATTCTTCTTCCTCTGATTAAACCTAATTGCCACACTCGTGTTTTATGTTTTTAGGAGGTTTATGGGTTTAGGGCTAAGTTATTAAGATGGTTTTATTTGTATTGTCAAGGATAATCTAAGAAAATCTAGTAGTATGGCTTAATAATTTAAGTGAGTTTGCTCTCTGACACAACTGTGTTTGTTGTGGTCCTAAAGTGTGTTGTGTGACGCTGTCATCAGTGGTGTGTGTTGTGTGACGCTGTCATCAGTGGTGTGTGTTGTGTGACGCTGTCATCAGTGGTGTGTGTTGTGTGACGCTGTCATCAGTGGTGTGTGTTGTGTGACGCTGTCATCAGTGGTGTGTGTTGTGTGACGCTGTCATCAGTGGTGTGTGTTGTGTGACGCTGTCATCAGTGGTGTGTGTTGTGTGACGCTGTCATCAGTGGTGTGTGTTGTGTGACGCTGTCATCAGTGGTGTGTGTTGTGTGACGCTGTCATCAGTGGTATGTGTTGTGTGACGCTGTCATCAGTGGTGTGTGTTGTGTGACGCTGTCATCAGTGGTGTGTTGTGTGACGCTGTCATCAGTGGTATGTGTTGTGTGACGTTGTCATCAGTGGTGTGTGTTGTGTGACGCTGTCATCAGTGGTGTGTGTTGTGTGACGCTGTCATCAGTGGTGTGTGTTGTGTGACGCTGTCATCAGTGGTGTGTGTTGTGTGACGCTGTCATCAGTGGTGTGTGCTGTGTGACGCTGTCATCAGTGGTGTGTGTTGTGTGACGCTGTCATCAGTGGTGTGTGTTGTGTGACGCTGTCATCAGTGGTGTGTGTTGTGTGACGCTGTCATCAGTGGTGTGTGTTGTGTGACGCTGTCATCAGTGGTGTGTGTTGTGTGACGCTGTCATCAGTGGTGTGTGTTGTGTGACGCTGTCATCAGTGGTGTGTGTTGTGTGACGCTGTCATCAGTGGTGTGTGTTGTGTGACGCTGTCATCAGTGGTGTGTGTTGTGTGACGCTGTCATCAGTGGTGTGTGCTGTGTGACGCTGTCATCAGTGGTGTGTGTTGTGTGACGCTGTCATCAGTGGTGTGTGTTGTGTGACGCTGTCATCAGTGGTGTGTGTTGTGTGACGCTGTCATCAGTGGTGTGTGTTGTGTGACGCTGTCATCAGTGGTGTGTGTTGTGTGACGCTGTCATCAGTGGTGTGTGCTGTGTGACGCTGTCATCAGTGGTGTGTGTTGTGTGACGCTGTCATCAGTGGTGTGTGCTGTGTGACGCTGTCATCAGTGGTGTGTGTTGTGTGACGCTGTCATCAGTGTTGTGTGTTGTGTGACGCTGTCATCAGTGTTGTGTGACGCTGTCATCAGTGGTGTGTGTTGTGTGACGCTGTCATCAGTGGTGTGTGTTGTGTGACGCTGTCATCAGTGGTGTGTGTTGTGTGACGTTGTCATCAGTGGTGTGTGCTGTGTGACGTTGTCATCAGTGGTATGTGCTGTGTGACGCTGTCATCAGTGGTGTGTTGTGTGACGCTGTCATCAGTGGTGTGTGTTGTGTGACGCTGTCATCAGTGGTGTGTGTTGTGTGACGTTGTCATCAGTGATGTGTGCTGTGTGACGTTGTCATCAGTGGTATGTGCTGTGTGACGCTGTCATCAGTGGTGTGTGCTGTGTGACGCTGTCATCAGTGGTGTGTGCTGTGTGACGCTGTCATCAGTGGTGTGTGTTGTGTGACGCTGTCATCAGTGGTGTGTTGTGTGACGCTGCCATCAGTGGTGTGTGTTGTGTGACGCTGTCATCAGTGGTGTGTGTTGTGTGACGCTGTCATCAGTGGTGTGTGTTGTGTGACGCTGTCATCAGTGGTGTGTGTTGTGTGACGCTGTCATCAGTGGTGTGTGTTGTGTGACGCTGTCATCAGTGGTGTGTGCTGTGTGACGCTGTCATCAGTGGTGTGTGCTGTGTGACGTTGTCATCAGTGGTATGTGCTATG